ATTCTTCCAGTTCTGGTTGGCTGAGCCAAAATTGTAGCTGTACTGCCGGTTGGGCGCCTGGTTCCAGCTCGATGCGATGGTCTTCTGGTCGGCTCGGCAGAAGTCCAGCTGGCAGGTCGTGCGGGAAAATCTCGGGGTATTTTCGAATCAGGTCCGCTAAATCCGGAGGAACGGCTTCGCACAGCTTCGCGATATCTCTGGCTGTTGTCGTCGACGTCACCTCGCAAAGATCAACAACGTACGCTGCAGCTCCCGCTTTTATCGCGTGCTTGAAAGTGATCGCATGGACTTGGGTGCTTCGCATGTGAGGCCCGTCCATGTTGGTAGCTCGCGGGAGATCCCATCGAGCTTTATGCTGCAGCCGTCCGTCGTCCAGTCGATCTTCGGGTTGTACCGTCACAGCCAATCACGTCCCAGCAATACGTCGCCAATCACGTCGCCAGCAACCCCATTTGAAATTTTACATACTCCCCGCAATGAAAACTGACGTTCTCCACTTGCTCCCGTATTGCCAGCGGTGTTCCATCCACTAGTCGGGCGTCGATTTCGGGTAGACACTTGAGTAAGGGTATACCCAATTTTTTAGCCCTGTCCAGCTGTATGAGACTGTGAATCGCGCCTCCATCCACAAAAATCTTCAATAACACTCCGTTGACTTTACCCTCCACCAACACAGGGTGATCAGCAGTTTCGTCCCCCTTATTCGTCCGGGTCCGGTCGATTGCAGCAATCGGGATCACGACCGGTGGGGACTGTGTGGCTTAGGCGAAGAAGCCTGCCCGTCAGTAAGGGCCCGGTACTTACTGACGCGACCCATTTCCCGGTCGCTCCTCCGGCTTCTTCCCCATAGAATTCTGGAGGGCTATGAATTCTTGGCAGTTGCGTCGGATGTGACCAGGTCGGCCACAGTGAGCATAGCCCCGTATTTCTCGGAGCAATGCGTAAATATCCACTGCGTCCACCCTTTATCGTGGCTCGCTGGTATGTTCTCGAGGGCGACCTCCGTCGTAGAAGTTCGTCCTCGGCTTCGTGAGCGAATCAGCGGCTTCGGCGAGCTGGATGAAGTCTTGTAACCGTTCGCAGGCGTTGCAGTTTTATCTGGTACTGTATTTCAGGCTTCAGCCCCCCATGTACCTGTCGACCTTCTCCAACTCGTGCATGTAGCCACATCAGTCCACCAACGTCAAGAATGACGCGGTGTACTCAGACACAGATCCCAGCTGCTTCCACATGCGTAGAGTCTCGCGCGCTTTGTCTGAGTCAGGAGCATGCTCAAACCGCTTGCGAAGCTCTGCGCACCACGTTGCCCACGTGCGAATGTGGGTCACACCGAACAACAAATCTGCCTCGTCTTCGTCGCCGAATTCTTCGGACCACTCGTGCTGTCCTTCTGTGCGAGTTGCCGCTGAGTCGACGATGACCTTCCACCACTGTAGGGCGGCCCCTTGCAACAGTGTTAACGCGTGGCTGATCCGCTTCTGATCGTCTCGGATGCCCGCCGCGTTAAAATAGATATTCATGGCGAATATCCACTGCCACACCATCACGCCTTTATTAGCTGGGTCGAAAGGAGCGGGTTGCTGATATCTCACGCCGCCACTTGTCGAGCGCGGGGCTGTTGCCACTAGTCGTGCCAGCTCCACTGGCGACGGTTGCTGCTCACCCGCCTCGCTTCGCGCATCGTCGCCCGGCTCCTCTGAACGCCTCTCCTGCGCCTGGCGAAGTCGTTGGTTCTCGTCGCGGAGGTTGTTGACGACACTTGTCAAATTATTTAACTGCTCCATTAATGCTTGCAGGTCCACAGTTTCTCGGGCAGGGTTCGCAGCAGTCGAGGTGGATTGTTCCTCAACCGTCGAATCTATAGGGGCCATGGCAGTCAGGACGGGGCAGAAGCTACCGCACACGCTGTAGTTGTTGACGTAAAATTTTTTACGATCAAGACAACTGCTGTGCAGCCGTGCTAATCCCCTGACCACCCTTAACTAATTAAACGGGAAAACGGAAGGTTCTTGGAAAGCTCGGGCTCTGATACCAGCTGTTATGATATAGGAAGTGTCAATGAACTATAACGTGAGGATTCAAGCTCGCTATTGCAATCAAAGGCACGAGGTTATATAGGGGGTTGGCATACTAGGGCGATAACCTCGGAACGTGGGTAGGTTCGGCTAATATGGCGACAGTGCCAGACGCGACTCGGGAAAGGGTTGGCCGATAAATGAGGCCGAACGTGACGAGTCGAGGAGTTCGGGTGTACGCGCTAGCGTACGACTCAGTAAGGTATGGAAATTCCTTACACCACGCCTCGCAGCGTACCTCACGAAAATCCCAAGAATACCGCGTCGAGAGGGCAAATCGACGTTCAAACAGCCGTCCGACCGGCAGTCAGGCCCTTCACCCACAAAACCCGACCACATTGTATTTACGAAACCTAGGAACAGCACACGCGGTCACTAAATCGCCCGTACTACCTTCGCCAACCATTGATGATCAGCTTGGGTCGTAACCAGTTACATAGAGCGCGTGTTATGAATGGAACTGCCTAGTAGAGCGGAGGGCAATGGAAAAAATTGTAAACAAGTGAATGAAGGCGTATCCCTAGCAAGTGTCATCACGAAAAAATGCCGTCCGCATATGGCGGACGACACCAATGTGCAATGTGTCACCTGGTGTCGTGCGACCGTTTCCGACTGGGGAAAAGGTGGCTGGTCACGGCAGACGTTGCGATGCACAGTTGACCATCGTTCGCCAACTGAAATGTCGGCTACCCTTTTTGCGCACCCAAACGAACACATTTGGTGGAGAACGGTGAAACCCAAGGCCGGTACATTTAACGTCGTAGCACTAAATGTCTTCAACGAAATTGAACCAATGCAACGGCGTGGCTCCGGCCAGATTGCATGGCCCACACATTTGCTGCGTGGTAGCACACAACAAGCACACAACTAGCACACATTTGCTGCGTGGTAGCAGACACCTGTATAAAACATAAGCATGTCGTGCAAAGAAACCACATACAGCTCCAACTAGAAGAGTCTTCACTCGTCACCCATCACCCCTACCAGCCATGCCTCCCAAATGTCTTCCCAACAGCAATGGAAAAGGATGGAAGCGGAAATACAAGGAAGTGACGAAGGCGAATGAGAAATCGGGGGAGGGGGGGGGGGGGGGGGGGGGGGGGGGGGGCACGATTGTGCTACCGTCGCGGTAGCAGTTTATGGCCGACCTCAAGCGCGGTCCCACGTTGGTACATCCCCACGTCGTTGAGGGGGCGGTGCGGAGAACGTCGAGGTTGACCCCAATGCTGACATTTCTGGACCTGGGGACGACGAGAACGACGATGCAATATATATGTGTACGAGATATCACCCGGGTAATTTATTTTCAGGTTTCCTTACAAGACTAACCCCCCCTTTTAGCTAGTATAACGAAAAAGAGCCTAAGGTCATATACGTATCCGGGCGTTTACGGTAAGTTTGAAGAGGTGGAAGCCAGCTCTCTTGGACTGTATGAATAGGCAAGAGGAGGAAAAAGCTGTTACGAGAGGCCGAAAAGTGAAAGGAAAAATTTCTCCTTACTTGGGCTCACTGTATCACATGATCGAAATGATCGAGAGAAAGTTGCACTATCGATTGATACAAGGCACTTTAATAGTTCCAAGGTACATCATTTAACTAGGTTTATCATATCCAAAGGGAATAGACCCTTCTAGAAATAGAATCACCCTGCGCATAGCCATGCAAGGCTATTGTCTGTAAGGGATTATGGCAGGATTACGCTAGATATAGCACGCCAGTACATCCCGAGCCTAGTCGGTAATAAAAATGTAATAATAGGATAAACCGAAGGATAATGGAAAATGGGGAATAGGAAACCGGATGAGATGAGGTAAAGACCAAATGAATCAGGATAAAATGGAGAATGAGATAGAGAAGAAATATAGAAATGAGAAAGAAGTTTACTGGAGACGTCCTCTCACACACTGCATACTGTGCAACCTGCACACACTCGAAAATCCGTTACGGTTCGTGACCTTTTGATATGAGCATTTAGGGCCTTTCCGGACCTTCGATATTTTTCCAAACCTTTGCATACTACAACTCGGATTAGCCTAGGTGGTCCTATATGTTGTCTCATCACTCTTTTTTTTTCATTCGAAGTTCACAGTTTCGTTATTGCACTCGGTGCTAGACAATTTCATCCATAACTAGCTTGGCTTCACATGCTGTACACGCATGCATGTTGAAAAAAAATTGGAAGATGTTACAATTTTACCTTAGCTTATTTATCCTCATCAAGCAATATATATGCTAATTACTCTGTTACAGATTCATGCCATTTCATAAATCTTATATCCGCTGTACAGTACGTCCGATAATTACTTGATCATATGACAACAATTAAACCCATGATGCACTTTCATGACATATTATATACTAATCAAACAGTGTGTTCACCTTGCATGTTACACGATCGATATTTTGTCAAGCTTCTCGTAGTAATGTCGCGCGAAATGGCATGATACACAACTTTATGCAAATGTAATAGTGTAGAGCGCTTGGACATATTGGAAGAATAATGCAATTCAGACAACAAAAACGTGTGCCTGCACATGAACAGAATTCAATCCCATTTGAAGGGCAGCTTCTTGGACGTAGCAACAGAACCAAATTCACGAAATGTCAAAATGCATATTTTGTGTGCAGTTCTGTCAGGTAAATTCACGAATTTCATTAGGATGATACTTCTAGGAATGTGCGTTAAGTGAATGATTTAAACCGGTTTCTGCATTCCATTATGCCATATGATGATATAGTGTTTCTTCCATGAGCTTAAACATTTATTTAGTAGGTATTATTATTGTTTGGTAATGCCCGCTCATGATTTAGTTAGTAGTTATAAGAATGCAAGTTTGTTTCTTGTTATGGAATAACTAAATTCAAATTGATCACCTTGCTTTGATATTGTTGTCTTTAGCCCTAACTAAACTGAGCATAACGCACGGCATCTGATGGTTCGCAGGCTACTGTGCTATTCGCCGCAACTTCGTTTCGTCTAGTTCTTTCAACGCGCATTGTTTTGCCTGGCTTATCGCAATCTTGTTTCGCCTATTCTTACGCCCTCTTTTCCTTAGGGCTAGGCGCGCTTATGACACTCATTCGTGTTTTCATAGTATTAGACACTTTCCCTCACCCGCTGCAGGTATGTTGTTATTTTCTCACATCGTTAATGTCGATCGGTCGCAGTGTCGTGATTTTCAACAAGCTGCAGCGATGATTTTGTATTGGTTTCTGAAACGAGCGAGTAGTTTGCCACAAGGCAATAGGCTCGCTGATATCCCGAGGCAAAGAGGATATTTTGTCAGGAATGCGCGAAGCACACTTTGGAGACGTGTAGATCCGCAAGGTGGACTGTGGTCGCGTCACTAGGCTCGGCGTTCCCAGCAAAGGACGAGCTGCTGAAGACGCGATTTCAAATACATGCTGGACAGGGATACACTGTTGGATGTTTCGACATTGCACGAGCAGAGCTCAAATTTACGGACAGTGCCCAACCTTATCGCAGCTCAATGTAGCGCCCAATCAGAATCGCTTCCCAAAACATCCGATATACGGGCAATGGGAGATCCGTTTGAGTCACTCTGCGACATGTCATTATTGAGTTAGCGACCAACATAATGCATGGGACAAGGCATTGACAACTTGGTTTCGTCGCCACGGAACTGTGCACTGCTGTCGCCTGATCGCCTCACAAGAGTCGCATACTGGCAACAAACATCGCCACCCAAGCCCCCCCCACAAATACCCACCCTTTCGTCGTGTGCTCGTGCGAAAGCCTCATTTGCCCGTTGCGAGGGCATGCAACATACTTGTGCGATTGAATCCCCATGACCCTCAAATCTTATGCGACTCTGACGAGCTTCGCCTGTATATGAAGTCCTTCTGAGGCCCAATTTGTTTGTTTTTGTTTTTGTTTTTTTTTTGTCACATAGCTATCACAGGCAAATTGGGCCAATATAGGGTAGTCTGGTTATCTAGTTGACATTTTCCTGTCTAAGAAAGGTGACCGTTGTTGTTTACCTTGCATTCCTCGGACAACAGTAAGGTATGAGAACATCCCGTCTGCATGTTTGGAGGTCTTCGTATTAGATGCAGTAACCATTACAGATTTGTGCACCTCTGTAGGTTGGAGCGTTGCCCGTGCGTTTGAACCAATGGGCCTGTAGATGGACACATGGCATCTAATGAATGGGCGATTCATTGGAGAAAAGGTGTTTGCGAGAGCAACGGACAGCGGACAGGAGTTTTTGTGAGCACCTACCTGGCTGGAGGTGCTTTTCGTCTGGACTGGAGTTACAGTACGAACTCAGCGAGGGCATTTTCCGCGCCAGAAATTTAATTTCGTGGTCAGAGACTACACGGCACAATCAACGGAGGGAGGCCAACAACCACCTTCGGTTTGTTTTTCAAGCATCTCCATCTAGTCACCGCAATGGTCCGACTGTAGAGAACAGAAGAAGAAGAAGAAGAAGAAGAAGAAGAAGAAGAAGAAGAAGAAGAAGAAGAAGAAGAAGAAGAAGAAGAAGAAGAAGAAGAAGAAGAAGAAGAAGAAGAAGAAGAAGAAGAAGAAGAAGAAGAAGAAGAAGAAGAAGAAGAAGAAGAAGAAGAAGAAGAAGAAGAAGAAGAAGAAGAACAACAACAACAACAACAACAACAACAACAACAACAACAACAATAACAACAACAACAACGACAACAAAAACAACAACAACAACAACAACAACAACAACAACAACAACAACAACAACAACAACAACAACAACAACAACAACAACAACAACAACAACAACAACAACAACTGGGAACAGTCGGGAAAGTTTTAAGAAGTCAACACAGACGGATCCCCTAATGACTTGGTCACCAGTTTTTAGCACCAACACCATGTTCCAGTTCGGGTTTAAGACTACTCTGACTGATCTGGACGAATAACGGGGGTGGGCTGTTGGATTACCCTATGCTGGTGGATCGTTAAGGGAAATATTTTGGCACCGCATGACTGGTGAATGATTTCCAAGCAATTTCGCCAGCGTATCAGCAAAATGGGAGTCACAGACGTAGGATTGTAACTCATTTAGTTTGTAATGTTTTAATCCATCCCTATAAAAATCAGAGTTCAATCATGGTTGTTGGTTGCCGTACCTTGGTGTGGTAATTGCTTCATTATTTTGCATACTCATATGACATTATAATTGGTTGCATGAAAGCAACTATTTACTTCACAGAGATAGGCAAGGTTGGTTGGTATTTTCCGTAATTTCCACCTACATGACATTTCCACTGTTGTAAGAGAAAAACACATGAGGATCGTGGCGTGCCATTATTGTTATTATTATGCCTCCTTGTAGGCACAATAGAACGTAATGGCATTTTTTGTGTTGTACTTCTTTAGCAGGGTTTTGATTGACCATGTTTATCTCTAGATGGGAATTGAGTAATGCAATAAAGAGTAGTGATTAAAGGGTCGAGTACAAATGAAGCACGATGCTAAATACGAGCGTAGCTAGCCCTAGCTAGAAATCTTGAGTTTGGGTTTCAAACCCTCGCAAGGTGGTTTGGGCGCCTCGGGACTCGGACGTGACTCCACGCGTTGAAGGAGGCTGACACGAAAAGAATCGTGGATACACAGTTATCCGATAACAATAATTTTGGCGTGATGGGTGTCACCATCTGAATGACTCTCTTCCTCACCTCTCCGCCTCACCTCTCCGCCTCACCTCTCCTCCCCACCTCTGATCCTCCCCTCCTCCTCGCCTCTCTGCCTCACCTCTCCTCCTTGCCTCTCCGCCTTCCTTTTCCGCTTCTCCTCTCCTCCTCCCCTCTCATCCTCACCTCTCTGCCTCACCTCTCCTCCAGACCACTGGTCCTCACCTACACTCGTCGCCTAATAAGTTATAATCGCCTCACATATGCTCGTCGCCTACCCTATTAGAGTCGCCTCACCTATCCCACTGCAGTCTCGCTGCCCGCCACCACAACTCTCCTCCTTTACTCCCCTTTACTATTCGATGGCGTACCCTCTCACACGCGTCCTATCTCTTGTCGCGTCCCCTCCCCCCGTCGCGTCCCCGCCCCCCCTCACATCTCATTCCGCGCCTCGTCTCCGATGGGGGCTTTGTCGCGACACCATTCCGCTATCTTCTTTTCTTAGCGCACATCCATTTATGCGGCGCATTTTGTATCTGCCTTCACGGGCGTTTTTCCCTTGCCAATTCCGCCTCGCATGCCTCGTATAGACTCATTGCCACTCCTCGCATCTCCTGTCCTAGCCCGTTGTAGATGCGTATTTGGAACCCTTTGCTTTCCGTGTCACCGTCGGCCAAGCGTTACCTCGCCGCATCGACTCACCTAATCGCGCGGTCGCCAACTTTCCGTCTCGCCGCGCCATATGTTTCGCGCCCATTCTCTCCTCTCCTCTCTCAATCTTAGCTACGTACGCCCCGCATCGTCGGCTCTGTAGCTCTACTACTAAGTTAGGTCTGCGTTTAGCGGCTGGTGCGGCAATTGATGTTGACTCTGGTTTGGCTAGTCCCATATTTCCTCCACTGGCTGTCCCCAACCCCAACCACCTCAAGTTGCTCTGGGACTTTCTGGGGCAGCTCTCTTGCCGTGAGCAAGGCTTTTTTTTCAATAGTTGTTGCCCTGAATTTGAGTCAAATAAAAGGTGGTTTTTCAGCTGGAACCACAAATTAAGGGTTGGCTTTTTATGAACCCGGGGATGGGTTTATGCAGAGTGTAACCCTAGAGTTTAATGGTATATTACTTACTAGTGCTACCCCGAGTGTACTACTAGTGCTGGTAGGGCTACATGGGGGATCTCCTTAGGAGGAACAACTCTGAAGATTTTCGTTGTTCTCCCCTCACAGCACGTACTCACACCAACTCACAAACAGAGGGGAGATAACTCCCTTAGAAGATTTTCGTCCTTCTCCCCTCACAACACGTTACTCCCACCTCGTAGTCACCAACAGAGGGGAGACAACTTCCTTAGTAGATTTTCGTTCTTCTCCCCTCACAGCACATTGCTCACACCTCGTAGTCACCAACAAAGGGGAGACAACTCTCTTAGTGGATTTTCGTTATTCTCCCCTTAAAGCCCCGTGCACGTTACTCACACCCTTTTTCGTCTTGTCCATAAATCTACTGGTAGATTCTCACAGTGGCAGTGAAAAGGATACTGTGCAAAAGAACCCTAATGAGTCAGTGAAAAGGATACTGCCCAAAAGAACCCTGAAAATTAAGAGTAAAAGCTCAAGGAGCTTGATTTTTTAAGGGTGACTAAAAACCAAAAGTAAGCCCTGGCCCTGAGCCTTCGGCAGGTGGATTGTGTTTGTGAAACCACTAGAGGCTGGCTTTATTATGAATTAATTTGAGTAATAACAGGTAGGGTAACAAAGGAGTCGTGATTCAAGAGTGTCGATACAAATGAGGGCCTAGGCATTTATAGGCACGAACAGAGCTAGCCGAGAACCACGCAAACAGGTTGGGGCGATTCGGTGGGCGAAAGCTACGGAAGCGCTGCGCGTCAAGGTTTGGGTTCGCGAAGTGGTTCGGGACCGAAGAAGTTGGCCGAGCCTGGACTTCCGAGAGTCGAGGGCGTACGCGATATAGTCGAGCTCAGTAAGGAAAATGGAATTTCCTTATAGGCATGGTGGAATATTGCGGAGAGGGGGTTGTGGCTTGGGTTACCAACCCGAACCTACATCAAACTGCCCCCAGTTTGATGGGTGGGGCCAGTTTGACTTTTCTAATCTGGGACCTGGGTTTTAAATCTCCTTACCGGTTACCCTCTCAGTGGGGCCAATCATTCGTCACTTCAGAGCACACCACTACTGCTTGAGGTGCTCGGGAAATACCCCATCAGTTGGTTCTGTATGCTGTCACGTACAATCGCATTCCTCTAAAAACAAACGCAGCCGTCCTGACATACACGCTTAATTTTAACGAGGTTAAGGGTGTACAAATACAGCTGTTTCCCGTCTCTCTGTCGCCTTCCTCTCTTCTGGAAAGCTCCTGGGCAGGAGAGCTGAGAACACCCTGTTGCCGTGGAAGCGGACAAGCTACAGTAGGTGTTCGATAGCTGTTATTCGCCAATTCTCCCAACATTGAGAGTCGCGGGCTCAGTTTTCTGCCCCAGCTCAAGCCTAATGTCGCCCGGCCTTAGTATGCAGCCGCCATGGGGAGACGCCTAATTTCAGTACCCATTTCTCAGTCGCTTTTGTATTGCAACTGCCGTCGGCCATGCCATGCCGCATTGACGGGGACGGAAGCCAATGCCGTCCAGTAAAAACCGCGTCATCACTCAATATTCCCGACCCCGCCCACAGAATCGGCGACTCCTCGTCGCGTACTAAACTTGCCAGCTGAGCTGTCAGGCCCATACGCGGCATTGCGACATTGCGACATTGCATAGCTGCTGTCATTGCCGCCTGTATTCAGGGTTGGGTTCAGGCATGCGCTTTCTGACCCGTGGTCGCTCCTCGATGGACGATTGCTTACCCAATCGAAATTCGATTGCGCCTGCGAATAAGCGACGCTTTGCGACCGCATCGCGACGCACTGCGGCTACCACGCAACCGGCGGCGTTTGCGACATTACGGCACGTTGCGACGCCATCACGCCCGGCGCGATTACCGTGTGCGACGCAGGCAGTCGCAATCATCGCCGCGGCGTGCCTGCTCGCGACGTTCGCGGTCACGCCAAGCGACGCCGTCCCCATTCACGAGTCGCAGAGTACGTCGCTCGTGCATTTCCAGCCTTGCTACCACCACTACTAGCAGTGGTAGTGGTAGTAGTACTACTAGCAGCAGTAGTGCGAAATCATAGAAGTTCATTTTTTCGCCCTCCTCCCGTCACCCCGTCCAACCCTCCCGCCGTGTCGCACTTCCACCCTCGGGTCTTATAACGCCTCGCCACCCATTGGGTCAAAACGAGGTTACCAGAGGGGCGCAGCGGAATTGCACGTTCACATCTCGGGTACGTTACACCCCCCTGGCGCCAACGTCCTCGTTGGCTCAGGGAGTCGGCCTCCGCAAGGACCTCGTACAGTTCGCTGGAAGCACAACGAACTCACTGGTGCTTCAGGCCAGTGCTACCGGATCGTTCGCTGGGTTCGCAACTGGTTACCACATTCGAGTTCTCGCCTTTCAAGCGGAAAATGTGATTAGCCGGGAATCGAACCCTAAGCTCTGATACCAGTATAACGCCTCGATACCCACTGGGTCAAAACGCGGTTACCAGAGGGGCGCAGGGGAATTGCACGTTCACATCTCAGGTACGTTACAGGTCTCTTCCCCTTCTCCCGGCCTGCTCTCCCCCTTCTCTCGGCCTGTTCTCCCCTTTTTCGGCCTTCTCCCCGCCGTGTCTCCGCCTCTTCTCCCCCAAATACCCCGAGCGCGGCTCATCCCCTCACCTCCCATTACCTCCGCGCCCTTTCCCGCAGAGAGCGCGCTGGGCGTCATCCTGGGTCAACAGCAGGGCTTGACAGGCGCGTCCGGGGGAACGGGCGGCACTGGCAATGTGGCGGGCGGCACTGGTGGTGGGACGGGCGGCAGTGGCTACGGTGCAGCCGGCGGCGGTCAGGGGGGGGGAGGAGAGGAGGTGGAGGAAGACTGCGAGCTTATAAGGGAGATAGAGTGCGACACGCAGGGATATGTGACGTCCCTGTAAGAAAGTTCTTCCGTGGCCCGCACACTATTTTGACACGATTATTATCACGATTCACAAGGTTTTGAGACGTCTCAACATGCTATTGTTGTGGGCGCAGCACGCAATGCTGACAGCCCTGGGCAGGGCTTGCAGCAAGCAGGGCAGCAGAACTGGGCCTTCAGCAGTTCTGCAAACCCCCCCTTTTCACCCTCACAAGCCGCCAATGCTCTCCCAGCTTTGAAAAGCGCGAGGGTACTGGGGAACAATGAGGTTCAGCATAGGGAAGTGTGCTGGATTCCACTCCTATGGCATGGCAACCAGGGGAGGGGAGGGACGTCTACCTCTCATGCCTTATGCCTCGTAGGGTCAAAGGCCCTCTTCCTCTCCCTCCTCCACCTTTTCTCGCCCCAGGCTCTCGGGCGTTGGAAGGCATGCTGTCTCGCGGATTCTCCCTCCATTTCTGCCACCACCGCGCATCGACCCTATCTCTCCCCGTCCCTTCCCTCGTGCTCATTCTCGTTTCCCCCCGCCTGCGTGCGTTGTCTTCCTACCCACCCCTCGCGTGCAGAAAGCTCGCATCCATGCTGTCGGTACCTGAGGATATTCAATCCCTCGTGCGCCTGCAGACGCTGTAAGCCCCCTGTCTCAGCTCAGCTGCCATGAGCCATTGGTTCAACTCCGCATCACCTCTCAGCGATGCCGTCGACACCTCAGGAAATTCGCCATGCAAAAGACACTGTTAGTAAGCCCTCTCGTTTGTGGCCATGCGCCCTACGCTCACCTGTGCTTGCTGTTATAAGCCCGCCCTCCCATCAGTTGCCTTGCCACGTGCCCGTTTCTCATTAGCCATGGCTGTTGTAAGCACACCGCATGCCACACTAGTCGTCCCACTGCTCTCACCACTCTCTAATCATCTCCCAAACTCTCCCCACTGCCTGTGGCGCCGACTGCTATTCACTTACCCTCGTAATCTCTCTCCTCCCTCTTTCCTCCCTCTCACCCTCCTTTCCTCTCTTGATCTCAGCTTTCCTTTCAACCCCAACCCCCCTTTCAACCCCAAATCCTCTTTCACAGAAAGCTCTTTTCAAGCTCGATACCACCGATCCGCATGCCAAGCATTCCTTCGGTCATTGGACAACTTTCCTCCCTCACCTCGCTGTAAGCCCACTCGCTGTAAACCCAATCTCTGTACCCACTGTCAAGGCGCAAAAAAGCGATGGTCGTTTTAAACGGGCCGTTTAATACGATCGTTTTATACGGTTTTTTTTTTTTAAAAACGCCGTTTTTTTGTTCGAAAACTCCAGTCACAATTTTTTTTATTAATCAGTCTAAAAACCTCATGGCACTATCCCTGAGGCATACTGCACTGACTACGACAACAGATTCGCCATAAAAGAGGTGAGTAGAGCTCCCTACCCCTATCGCGCTGCCCCTACCGTCCCCCCCCTACTATTTCTTATCCTCCTCCACTTTCCCCGTGAGCAAAACTCCCTGCCTTCCTCCGGCCCCTAACCCCCCCCTTACTACTTCTACTCATCCTCCTCCTCCTCCTCGTCATCCTCCTCCCCGCTCTCACTCCCGCTCTGCTCCCATGGTGCTCCCCCTTGCGCCACTCGTGGGATTCATCCCCCCCGCTCTCACTAGAGCTCCCTGCTTCTTCGTCCTCATCGGAGTCTGCTGCACGCTTCTCTTTGCCCTTCTTGGACCCGCCCATCTTCTTTGCCCGCTTCCTGGCCTTGCGCTTGGCTGACCGCTTCTTCTTCCACCCCCCGGCTGCCCCGAACTTCCTCCAATCGATGGCACAGCCCACGGCATCCTCCCCCTCCTCCTCCTCTGCCGGCTCGGTTTGCTGAGGGGGCGCCTCGGGCACGCTGCAGCCTTCCTTCAGCCTTCCAGAATCAAGGTCGGCATAGAGCTTCGAGCGTAGCTCTAGCTTGAGGTCGAACGCAGCCCGGGCGCGCCTGCTGAAGGCGAACCATGTGATGCCAATCATGGTCTCGGGGCTGAGGTTGTTTCGGTCACGCCGCTGGACTCAAGCCATGGCTGACCACCAACGCTCGACCTCAGACGAGGTGATGGGCTGGGAGAGGATCCTGACCGCAAGCTCCTGCAGCTGGCGCACCTCCTCTCCGTGGATGAGCCACCATCCGGCCTCCGACATCCTTCCGCACTGGACCAGAGCGGAAGCTGCCCACCTTGCGTCCTTCCCCCCCAACTTCCCCTCCCCCTTGTGGAATGACTGCAGCTGCGCTTGCAGCATGGTGCGCCGTCCGGGGTCAGACTCACGTGCCTTGAGCACGGCGTCAACCCCTTTGCGGAGCTCGGTGTCGCCCCACACCTCGTCCGCAAATTGGTTGAGGGGGCTCAGCAGCCACCCCATAGCATGGAGGGGGTTGTGCAGCTGAGCGTCCCACCTCTTTGCGATAATCTTCTTCACGCTAGCCAAGAAGGCGGCTCTGTCCTTCGCTTCCATCAGCTCGGCCTTCTTAATGAAGAAAGTAGCTGTGGAAATGGGGATTGGGTGGAGAGAGAGCGGGGGTTCGGGAAGGGGATCCAACCCAGCATGCAACGGACAGAGAAGAAAGCTGTGAGGGGGACAAAGGCGGATGACTTACCCGCAGCACTAGCCGCCTCGTTGGTCTTGACCGTGGCCTCAACCATCAGGCCATAGATCTTGGCCATCAGCAGTGCTCGCGTGTCCACTGCCCGAAGGACGTCATGCACCGGCTGCATGAGCCGGAGTACAACGTTCACGGACTCCCAGAACTTCTCCTTCAGCAGCATCGCCCGAATCTCCTGACCCTCCTTTGTCCCACTGACGGCTACCCCCTTCCACTCCTCGCTAATGACCAGCCGCAGCAAAGACTCCTTCACAGCAAGGAACCGGGTGATCATTATCACCTGGGTTCCAAAACGAGTGGCTCCAGGTTTGACAAGTTCGAGCTGGCTGAAAATCTCCCTAAAGAGAATGACGGTGCTCGCACTGTTCTTAACCATCATCGCTACCCGCTGCGCCTCCGCTAGCACCTTCTGCACGACGGGGATGCCCCAATGTCACTCAGCATTAGGTCTAGGCAATGAGCGGCGCAGTTGGTGAAAAAATGGCCGGAAAGCCCTCCTTCAAAAGGCTGGACGCTTTCTTATTGTTGCTGGCATTGTCCATCACGCACTGGACAACGGCTTTGTCGCCGACTTCGCATATGGCCTTGCGGATCAAGGCCGCCAAGTAAGACCATGTCTTCTTGGCGGTCTTAGAGTCCACTATATCGACGAGCACCGGGCAGCTCTCGTTTTGCGCAATGACGCATACGATGGCGCGGCTCTTCAAGCAAGACCAGACGTCAACTGATAAGGTGCAGCCGACGGACTTCCAAGTCTCCTTGAGGGGCGACACCAACTCGAAGGTGTCGGCCTTCAACTTCTGGAGCAGGGGCTCCGACACCTTGTATGCCGAGGGTAGCTTGTACGGCTTCCCGTACGCCACTGCCGCGTTCACGAACGCCTGCGTCACTTTGGACCTTGTGGGTGGGAAAAGGCGGGGACTTAGAGCGAGGGGAGTGCTGTGCGTGCCACGCGAGGAACGGGTGCAAAAGACATGCTGCGGGAGCATAAATGGCAATAGAGAGAGGACTTCTCACTGGGAACAGCGGAAGGCCCAGTCATTCTCGGCCACCGCGGCGGCCCACAAGTGGTCAAGACGCTCCTTGCCAGCTTGATCTGACATCGCACGGATATCGAGCTGGACTTGCGCCTTGGACGTCGTCACCTCGCTCGTCGACGTGGAGGCCGAGCCACGCGAAGATCCGGCAGTGTTTCCCTTCTCGCGCAGCGTCCACGCGAGCTCGGAGGTGCACGTGGCGATATTCTTTGACTTCGTGGCCGGGGTACCGAAAAGGTGCTCCTGAATTCGTGTGGCGCTTGACGTCATGGTTTGCGTGCAGTAGTTACACTGGACCCTAACGAGTTTACCGTCGTCATCAAACGTGCGGGTGACGTGTTCCCACAAGCGAGAAGGAGTCCGCGGCATGGCGGAACTGTGGTCTTGGGCGCTGCTGCTAGCACTGACTGAGCTAGCTAAGATTCTTAGTCTCTGGAATTTGAGATGCACTCACCTGTTCTGTTGTGCTCCACATTTGTATGTGCTCAACTCGACAATAATCGTGAAGGCCGTTTGATGAAGTCGTTGGAAAGGGTGCACACCTCTGGGGGGATTGGGAAATTTGCGACACGTCAGGTGCGCGATGTGTCGCGTACGTCGCGAACTCATTTTTCAGGCGCGAAACTGTACACCAGGCCACTAGCGACAGTGGGGTACAGCTCGCAACGGCTTCGCGAATTGGATCCAATTCGCGGATCGACATTGGCGCCGAGTCGCGTTTCGTTGGAAAATTGTGTCAGCTCGAATCTGACTTTGGAGCGACACCAAAATCGAGTCAGCCAAACCAACATACGCGATATACGTATACAATTGTTGGGTACAAAAAAAGCGATCGTATAAAACGATCGCTTTTTTGCACCACATAAAAAAGGGCACATTGACCGCTTTTTATCGTTTTAAACGACGGAATCTTACGATGTCGTTTAAAACGACAAATTTTTGAAAAAAACGCCGCTTTTTTGCGCCTTGCCCACTGTAGGTCCAATACTGTACTCACTCACTGAAAGCCCAAGTGGCTACACTCACTGTAAGCTTAATCGCTGTACTCACTGAAGGCCCGATCGCTGTACTCACATAAAGCCCAATAGCGGTACTCGCAAGCCCAATTGCTGTACCCAAAGAAATACTTTTTGTCCCCGCTGTTCTTTCCCCATTCGTCTGTTCTTTCCCCATTCGGCTGTTCTTTCCCCATTCGGCTGTTCTTTCCCCATTCGGCTTTTCTCTCCCCATTCGGCTGTTCTTTCCCCATTTGGCTGTACTTTCCCCATTCGGTTGTTCTTTCCCCATTCGGCTGTTCTTTCCCCATTCAGCTGTTCTTTCCCCATTCGGCTGTTCTTTCCGCATTCGGCTGTTCTTTCCCCATTCGGCTGTTCTTTCCCCATTCGGCTGTTCTTTCCCCATTCGGCTGTTCTTTCCCCATTCGGCTGTTCTTTCCCCATTCAACTGTACTTTCCCGATTCGGCTGTTCTTTCCCCATTCGGCCGTTCTTTCCCCATTCGGCTGTTCTTTCCCCATTCGGCTGTTCTTTCCCCATTCGGCTGTTCTTTCCCCACTCGGCTGTTCTTTCCCCATTCGGCTGTTCTTTCCCCATTCGGCTGTTCTTTCCCCATTCGGCTGTTCTTTTCCCATTCGGCTGTTCTTTCCCTATTCGTCTGTTCTTTCCCTATTCGTCTGTTCTTTCCCCATTCGTCTGTTCTTTCCCCATTCGTCTGTTCTTTCCCCATTCATCTGTTCTTTCCGCATTCGGCTGTTCTTTCCCCAGTCGGCTGTTCTTTCCCCATTCGGCTGTTCTTTCCCCATTCGGCCGTTCTTTCCCCATTCGGCTGTGCTTTCCCCATTCGGCTATTCTTTCCCCATTCGGCTGTTCTTTTCCCATTCGGCTGTTCTTTCCCTATTCGGCTGTTCTTTCCCCATTCGGCTGTTCTTTTCCCATTCGGCTGTTCTTTCCCTATTCGTCTGTTCTTTCCCTATTCGTCTGTTCTTTCCCCATTCGTCTGTTCTTTACCCATTCGTCTGTTCTTTTCCCATTCGTCTGTTCTTTCCCCATTCGTCTGTTCTTTCCCCATTCGTCTGTTCTTTCCCCATTCGGCTGTTCTTTCCCCATTCGGCTGTTCTTTCCCCATTCGGCTGTTCTTTCCCCATTCGGCCGTTCTTTCCCCATTCGGCTGTTCTTTCCCCATTAGGCTGTTCTTTCCCCATTCATCTGTTCTTTTCCCATTTGTCTGTTCTTTCCCCATTCGTCTGTTCTTTCCCTATTCGTCTGTTCTTTCCCCATTCGTCTGTTCTTTACCCATTCGTCTGTTGTTTTCCCATTCGTCTGTTCTTTCCCCATTCGTCTGTTCTTTCCCCATTCGTCTGTTCTTTCCCTATTCGGCTGTTCTTTCCCCATTCGGCTGTTCTTTCCCCATTCGGCTGTTCTTTCCCCATTCGGCCGTTCTTTCCCCATTCGGCTGTTCTTTCCCCATTCGGCTGTTCTTTCCCCATTCATCTGTTCTTTTCCCATTTGTCTGTTCTTTCCCCATTCGTCTGTTCTTTCCCTATTCGTCTGTTCTTTCCCCATTCGTCTGTTCTTTACCCATTCGTCTGTTGTTTTCCCATTCGTCTGTTCTTTCCCCATCGTCTGTTCTTTCCCCATTCGTCTGTTCTTTCCCCATTCGGCTGTTCTGTCCCCATTCGGCTGTTCTTTCCCCATTCGGCTGTTCTTTTCCCATTCAACTGTTCTTTCCCCATTCGGTTGTGCTTTCCCCATTCGGCTGTGCTTTCCCCATTCGGGCTGTTCTTTCCCCATTCGCCTGTTCTTTCCCCATTCGGCTGTTCTGTCCCCATTCGGCTGTTCTTTCCCCATTCGGCTGTTCTTTCCCCATTCAACTGTTCTTTCCCCATTCGGCTGTTCTTTCCCCATTCGGCCGTTCTTTCCCCATTCGGCTGTTCTTTCCCCATTCGGCTGTTCTTTCCCCATTCGGCTGTTCTTTCCCCATTCGGCTGTTCTTTCCCCACTCGGCTGTTCTTTCCCCATTCGGCTGTTCTTTCCCCATTCGGCTGTTCTTTCCCCATTCGGCTGTTCTTTTCCCATTCGGCTGTTCTTTCCCTATTCGTCTGTTCTTTCCCTATTCGTCTGTTCTTTCCCCACTCGTCTGTTCTTTCCCCATTCATCTGTTCTTTCCGCATTCGGCTGTTCTTTCCCCAGTCGGCTGTTCTTTCCCCATTCGGCTGTTCTTTCCCCATTCGGCTGTTCTTTCCCCATTCGGCTGTTCTTTCCCCATTCGGCTGTTCTTTCCCCATTCGGCCGTTCTTTCCCCATTCGGCTGTTCTTTCCCCATTCGGCTGTTCTTTCCCCATTCATCTGTTCTTTCCCATTTGTCTGTTCTTTCCCCATTCGTCTGTTCTTTCCCTATTCGTCTGTTCTTTCCCCATTCGTCTGTTCTTTACCCATTCGTCTGTTGTTTTCCCATTCGTCTGTTCTTTCCCCATTCGTCTGTTCTTTCCCCATTCGTCTGTTCTTTCCCCATTCGGCTGTTCTGTCCCCATTCGGCTGTTCTTTCCCCATTCGGCTGTTCTTTCCCCATTCAACTGTTCTTTCCCCATTCGGCTGTGCTTTCCCCATTCGGCTGTTCTTTCCCCATTCGCCTGTTCTTTCCCCATTCGGCTGTTCTGTCCCCATTCGGCTGTTCTTTCCCCATTCGGCTGTTCTTTCCCCATTCAACTGTTCTTTCCCCATTCGGCTGTTCTTTCCCCATTCGGCCGTTCTTTCCCCATTCGGCTGTTCTTTCCCCATTCGGCTGTTCTTTCCCCATTCGGCTGTTCTTTCCCCACTCGGCTGTTCTTTCCCCATTCGGCTGTTCTTTCCCCATTCGGCTGTTCTTTCCCCATTCGGCTGTTCTTTTCCCATTCGGCTGTTCTTTTCCTATTCGTCTATTCTTTCCCTATTCGTCTGTTCTTTCCCTATTCGTCTGTTCTTTCCCCACTCGTCTGTTCTTTCCCCATTCATCTGTTCTTTCCGCATTCGGCTGTTCTTTCCCCAGTCGGCTGTTCTTTCCCCATTCGGCTGTTCTTTCCGCATTCGGCTGTTCTTTCCCCATTCGGCTGTTCTCTCCCCATTCGGCTGTTCTTTCCCCATTTGGCTGTTCTTTCCCCATTCGGCTGTTCTTTCCCCATTCGGCTGTTCGTTCCCCATTCGGCCGTTCTTTCCCCATTCGGCTGTGCTTTCCCCATTCGGCTGTTCGTTCCCCATTCGGCTGTTCTTTTCCCATTCGGCTGTTCTTTCCCTATTCGTCTGTTCTTTCCCCATTCGGCTGTTCTTTTCCCATTCGGCTGTTCTTTCCCTATTCGTCTGTTCTTTCCCCATTCGTCTGTTCTTTACCCATTCGTCTGTTCTTTTCCCATTCGTCTGTTCTTTCCCCATTCGTCTGTTCTTTCCCCATTCGGCTGTTCTTTCCCCATTCGGCTGTTCTTTCCCCATTCGGCTGTTCTTTCCCCATTCAGCCGTTCTTTCCCCATTCGGCCGTTCTTTCCCCATTCGGCCGTTCTTTCCCCATTCATCTGTTCTTTTCCCATTTGTCTGTTCTTTCCCCATTCGTCTGTTCTTTCCCTATTCGTCTGTTCTTTCCCCATTCGTCTGTTCTTTCCCCATTTGGCTGTTCTGTCCCCATTCGGCTGTTCTTTCCCCATTCGGCTGTTCTTTCCCCATTCAACTGTTCTTTCCCCATTCGGCTGTTCTTTCCCCATTCGGCTGTTCTTTCCCCATTCGGCTGTTCTTTCCCCATTCGGCTGTTCTTTCCCCATTCGGCTGTTCTTTCCCCATTCGGCTGTTCTTTCCCCATTCGGCTGTTCTTTCCCCATTCATCTGTTCTTTTCCCATTTGTCTGTTCTTTCCCCATTCGTCTGTTCTTTCCCTATTCGTCTGTTCTTTCCCCATTCGTCTGTTCTTTACCCATTCGTCTGTTCTTTTCCCATTCGTCTGTTCTTTCCCCATTCGTCTGTTCTTTCCCCATTCGCCTGTTCTTTCCCCATTCGGCTGTTCTGTCCCCATTCGGCTGTTCTTTCCCCATTCGGCTGTTCTTTCCCCATTCAACTGTTCTTTCCCCATTCGGCTGTTCTTTCCCCATTCGGCTGTTCTTTCTCCATTCGGCCGTTCTTTCCCCATTCGGCTGTTCTTTCCCCTTTCATCTGTTCTTTTCCCATTTGTCTGTTCTTTCCCCATTCGGCTGTTCTTTCCCTATTCGTCTGTTCTTTCCCCATTCGGCTGTTCTTTTCCCATTCGGCTGTTCTTTCCCTATTCGTCTGTTCTTTCCCCATTCGTCTGTTCTTTACCCATTCGTCTGTTCTTTTCCCATTCGTCTGTTCTTTCCCCATTCGTCTGTTCTTTCCCCATTCGGCTGTTCTTTCCCCATTCGGCTGTTCTTTCCCCATTCGGCTGTTCTTTCCCATTCGGCCGTTCTTTCCCCATTCGGCCGTTCTTTCCCCATTCGGCTGTTCTTTCCCCTTTCATCTGTTCTTTTCCCATTTGTCTGTTCTTTCCCCATTCGTCTGTTCTTTCCCTATTCGTCTGTTCTTTCCCCATTCGTCTGTTCTTTACCCATTCGTCTGTTGTTTTCCCATTCGTCTGTTGTTTCCCCATTCGTCTGTTCTTTCCCCATTCGTCTGTTCTTTCCCCATTTGGCTGTTCTGTCCCCATTCGGCTGTTCTTTCCCCATTCGGCTGTTCTTTCCCCATTCAACTGTTCTTTCCCCATTCGGCTGTTCTTTCCCCATTCGGCTGTTCTTTCCCCATTCGGCTGTTCTTTCCCCATTCGGCTGTTCTTTCCCCATTCGGCTGTTCTTTCCCCATTCGGCTGTTCTTTCCCCATTCGGCTGTTCTTTTCCCATTCGGCTCTTCTTTCCCTATTCGTCTGTTCTTTCCCTATTCGGCCGTTCTTTCCCCATTCGTCTGTTCTTTCCCCATTCGGCTGTTCTTTCCCCATTCGGCTGTTCTTTCCCCATTCGGCTGTTCTTTCCCCATTCGGCTGTTCTTTCCCCATTCGGCTGTTCTTTCCCCATTCGGCTGTTCTTTCCCCATTCATCTGTTCTTTTCCCATTTGTCTGTTCTTTCCCCATTCGTCTGTTCTTTCCCTATTCGTCTGTTCTTTCCCCATTCGTCTGTTCTTTACCCATTCGTCTGTTCTTTTCCCATTCGTCTGTTCTTTCCCCATTCGTCTGTTCTTTCCCCATTCGCCTGTTCTTTCCCCGTTCGGCTGTTCTGTCCCCATTCGGCTGTTCTTTCCCCATTCGGCTGTTCTTTCCCCATTCAACTGTTCTTTCCCCATTCGGCTGTTCTTTCCCCATTCGGCTGTTCTTTCTCCATTCGGCCGTTCTTTCTCCATTCGGCCGTTCTTTCCCCATTCGGCTGTTCTTTCCCGATTCGGCTGTTCTTTCCCCATTCGGCTGTTCTTTTCCCATTCGGCTGTTCTTTCCCTATTCGTCTGTTCTTTCCCTATTCGTCTGTTCTTTCCCTATTCGTCTGTTCTTTCCCCACTCGTCTGTTCTTTCCCCATTCATCTGTTCTTTCCGCATTCGGCTGTTCTTTCCCCAGTCGGCTGTTCTTTCCCCATTCGGCTGTTCTTTCCCCATTCGGCTGTTCTTTCCCCATTCGGCTGTTCTCTCCCCATTCGGCTGTTCTTTCCCCATTTGGCTGTTCTTTCCCCATTCGGCTGTACTTTCCCCATTCGGCTGTTCTTTCCCCATTCGGCCGTTCTTTCCCCATTCGGCTGTTCTTTCCCCATTCGGCTGTTCTTTCCCCATTCGGCTGTTCTTTCCCCATTCGGCGGTTCTTTCCCCATTCGGCTGTTCTTTTCCCATTCGGCTGTTCTTTCTCTATTCGTCTGTTCTTTCCCTATTCGTCTGTTCTTTCCCCACTCGTCTGTTCTTTCCCCATTCGGCTGTTCTTTCCCCATTCGGCTGTTCTTTCCCCATTCGGCTGTTCTTTCCCCATTCGGCCGTTCTTTCCCCATTCGGCTGTTCTTTTCCCGTTCGGCTGTTCTTTCCCTATTCGTCTGTTCTTTCCCTATTCGTCTGTTCTTTCCCTATTCGTCTGTTCTTTCCCCATTCGTCTGTTCTTTCCCCATTCGTCTGTTCTTTCCCCATTCGTCTGTTCTTTCCCTATTCGTCTGTTCTTTCCCCATTCGTCTGTTCTTTCCCCATTCGTCTGTTCTTTCCCCATTCGGCTGTTCTTTCCCCATTCGGCTGTTCTTTCCCCAGTCATCTGTTCTTTTCCCATTTGTCTGTTCTTTCCCCATTCGTCTGTTCTTTCCCCATTCGCCTGTGCTTGCCCCATTCGCCTGTGCTTGCCCCATTCGCCTGTGCTTGCTCCATTCACCATAACTCCGTCATCGCAGGGACCTCTACCAAATGGTGGCGGGGGGATCATTCCCGATAACCATGTCTAGGCTCAAGAGGCTCAAATCGCTGTAAGGCTCAGAAGACTCGGATAGTTTGTTACAGAAAAAGTACCTTAGATCTGTCAATCAGCAAGAGGCGTGTAAAATTGTTTTTGCCAATGATTGCCCAATTTGACTTCCTCTGTCAGTCTCAATCCTTGTGTTCCTCTGTCAGTCTCAATCCTAGTGTTCCTCTGTCAGTCTCAATCCTTGTGTTCCTCTGTCAGTCTCAATCCTTGTGTTCCTCTGTCAGTCTCAATCCTTGTGTTCCTCTGTCAGTCTCAATCCTTGTGTTCCTCTGTCAGTCTCAATCCTTGTGTTCCTCTGTCACCTTCCATGCCCGTGCGCGTGTGATCTCTCCCTTCCGCGCTCTGAATGGCGAGACCAGGAGCATGGTTGGGATCACCTTATCCAGCACCATTCCGCACTTCTTCTCCTCCCTCACTGCCTTGACGCAGCTGTGAGTGCCTCATTCGCAATCCCAGTGCATTCGAATGTCAGTGCATCTCAAATGACAGTGCATCTCAAATGACAGTGCAACTCAAATGACAGTGCATCTCAAATGACAGTGCATCTCAAATGTCAGTGCATCTCAAATGTCAGTGCGTCTGAAATGACAGTGCATCTCGAATGTCAGTGCATCTCAAATGACAGTGCATCTCAAATGTCAGTGCATCTCAAATGTCAGTGCGTCTCAAATGTCAGTGCATTTCCTGCGCGAGAGAGTATGGTACTCTCTGTAATCACTCTGTTTTCGGCTGCATGTTCTGCAATCCAAGGCAGTCATTGAGTTGCTGGTTGCCCGCAATAGACTTGAATCAGCAGCCACCAGCAAGCTCTATTGTATTCTGCAAGACTTATCTATCCAACTTCTTTCGCCCACAAGAGCTGGCTCTATCTATGCACAATCAAAAGCACAGTCAAGTTTATTGTTGAGGCGCCTCAAAAAGAGCAAGCTATCTTTGCACAATCAGTAGCACGACAGGCAAATCACACATCTCAGCTCTTCTCTGCTGCGATTCGTACATCAGAGCACCTTGTCTTTGACTGGCATAAATCACAACCAGTAAATCACGCTTCTCCTTTCCTCTAGTTTGTGACTCTATCCTGCTACTCGCATCTCCCTCCCTCCACTCACTCCTCTCTGCAGCAAGCTTGTTGGGGCGGGCCTCCACTCATCCCTTCCCGCGGGCTTCTCACGCCTTACCAACCTCATGATGCTGTGCGTGCTTGCTGCGGCCACTACCCTAGACTGCTGCGGCCAGTACCCTAGACTGCTGCGGCCAGTACCCTAGACTGCTGCGGCCAGTACCTTAGACTGCTGTGGCTGACGCCCTAGGGCCTAGACTGCTGGTTTGAATTCCCCTTTGTTGTTGGAGTCCCCAACCAATCCTTTAACCCCCCAGAGGTTAGCACGTGACGACCATGATTGGAGCCCGAATAATGCTGCTCACTCCAACCATAGTCAAGCCTCCTTTGACCACATTCACCACTTGATTTCAACCCATGTAATCGAGTTCTCTCGACCAAACTATCAGTTTGATTTCTTTCGCACCCTATGTCTCCCTCACTCTCTTTCCTCTCCACTTGCCCTCTACTCGTTTGATCTTCCCTTCGTCTTCCCGATCCCCTACCTGCCAGCATGCTATCCAGCAACAACCTCACGGGCTCCCTCACTCCCCTCACTGGCTTGAGACGCCTGCAGCATCTGTGAGTCAAGGTGCCTCGAGGAATGTTTCAAGTGCTGGAGGTTTCTCTTTAGTCGACTCCAATTGGTAACCTTTTAAGCGACTCAAAAGCGGTAACGTTTTAGTCAATTCAGAAGATGTTCCTCTTGAGTCGACTCAAAACGCATGCTGTGTTCCGCTACTGTGTCGCACCATTAGCAAAGGTAGGGGTGAGATGGTAGCGGCCTGGGGGTCTCCGTCGTGTGTATCATGTCTTATGTCTTTTGGAGGGCTGCATGATACACCTGAAGAGCGGCCTTGGCGAGCGATCAATGGGTACATCACAGTTAGCCATTTGTCCTCGCCTCTCTGACCCTTGCTTACTGTCCTCCCACTTTCCCGGTGTTCACATCCTCCCCCTCCCCCTTGTCTTCCGCGTCCCCTTCCCCCTTCCCCTTTGTTCACCTCCACTCCTCCCTCCCCCCACCTCCCTCTCCTCCCCCTCCTCTCCCAGCAACCGTATTCACAACCGCTTCTCTCTAGCAGCCTCCCATCGACCACCAGGCGTTTCTCCTAGTTATTCTGCCCCTTATGCCTGTCTGTCTCCCCCCCCCCACCGACCCCCCCAACCCACCCCCGGTAATCCCACCCCACACCAGCAACGCCATTCACAACCACTTCTCTGGCAGCATCCCATCGACCATCAGCCGCCTCTCAGACCTCTCCTACATGTGAGAGCCTACCTGCTGCTGATGTTCTTATGCGTGATCACTGCTGCTGGCGAAATATTGAGTGGTATTTGGAGAACCAAAAAAAGAAAAAAGAACTACTTTTCTGGCAGCATCCCATCAATCGTTAGCATCACATCCTCTTTCTCCCAACCACACACAACTTTCTTATTGCCCCCTCCAGCTGGCTCGACAACAACACCATCACCGGCTCGCTACCAGCCTCCATTTCCAAACTCCAAGCGCTGATGTTTCTGTAAGTCTCCACACGGTAGCGTTACAATGTCAACAAACTTGGGCATGGTGGGCATGGGAGGGACAGCTACTGCCATTTAGGGGGGTGCTCCTTGGAGCTTGACGTTTGGCCCATGAAGTAAGTTACTAAGGCGTGTGAAACAAGCGCACAACGACCGGAAGAGTCTGGAACGGCTGACTGAACCTCCGCCCCTGCAGGAGTGTGCAGGGCAACCGGCTGACTGAGTAGGCACTGAGAGTAGGCATGAGCACAAGGCCCGGACGGCCCGCCCAAAAATTTCGGGCATGGGCTGCCCATTCCCGAAGCTCAGCCTGTGGCTAGGCAGCCCGGCCCGGCCCGGCCCACCCCCGGCCCCGGCCCCGGCCCCGACCTGGGGACTTTCCGAAATTGGCCGGGCCGAGCAGAATCGGACGGGGCCGGGCCTATGCTCATGCCAATCTGGGAGGTTTTCTGGCCTCAAGGGACTGAAAGTTGAGAGTTCGATGTTGCGCTGTCTTCCCAAACCCCCCACTCCTGCAGGAGTGTGCAGGGCAACCGGCTGACAGGGAGCCTGCCTCAAGCCACTGGGAAGCTCTCCGGCCTGCAAGGACTGTAAGGACCATCTCTTTTGGGGCGCTCCTCTTTCCTTCTGGCCTTCCTCCTTCCTCTTGGCCTTCCTCCTTCCTCTTGGCGTTCCCCCTTCCTCTCGCCATGCCTCCTCCTTCCCCATGCATCGTTTCCAGACTATCCTCCTCGCCCTCATCCTACAGTACTTATTCCTCCCCATACTCATCCTTCCATCCACCCTTCCCCCCTCCACTCATCGCATCCTCCATGCACTCAATCTTTCTCCACCAGCTCTCCTCGTTATTACACCATGCCCTCCTTCCTTAAGTATCGTACACAACACGCCCCATCTTTACAGCACTTACCCCCCCACAGCTCGCTAGGTGGTAAAAGCTTGGCTTTTTGTGGCTTTATTTCAATCCCTTTTGATGAATTCATCCCATCTCTCTCCTCTCCTCTTTGCCCTCCCTTCACTCCCGTTCTTGACCTATTGCTTGCGCCCTTTCATGCAGCAGGAACTCTGTTTTCTAGGCGCCTTAAAAATACATGTGTCCTCCCCTCGCTTCCTTTCCCCCTGCCTATCGCAGTGACCTCTCTCGCAATAGCATCTCTGGGTCCCTGCCGTCTACAATTGGCAAACTCAGGCAGCTCGCTTACATGTAAGCCAAGACTCGGTAAAAGGCATGTCATGTTTGCTATCTACATTTTTCAAAAACCAACTCAGCACACTTGGCAAGCTCAGGCTGCTTGGTTACATTACATGTAAGTCAGGACTTGGTCGTCTGACTGCCTGTGAATCCTAAGGAACGGTTGTTTCATCTTGCAGAGCTCCCATGTGCTGTGTCATGCATGGCTATCCCTTCTGTTGACTTTCCGTCTCTCGTCTCCCTCAACACCCCTCACCTCGGTATTGTGTGGACTTTTCTATGGTGTACTGGTTTCATTAACTACAGACAGGGTCACCTAGTACCACAAGTTTACACCGACTCAAGCCAAATCAATGGACCTGTTGTGGATGGGCATGCCGTCGGATCGCATGGCATAGAACGGCATGGCATGGCACGGCATGGCATGGCATGGCACGGCATGGCATGGCATGGCATGGCACGGCATGGCATGGCATAACAGCCGTCTTGACGACAACAGCATCACTGGTACCATCCCTCTCGCCTTCTCCGCTCTCACTGCATTATCATTCCTGTGAGTCCCCCTGCACTTCTTTGCCTATTGGTGCCATGCGGTGCTGTGTGGTGCTGTGTGGTTCTACCTGTGACCTGTCTCTGCTGTTTGAGAGCCTAACTTGAAATAAGACATGGTTATCAGTAAGGTGTAAATCTCTCCTAGACAAAAAAGGGCCGATCGGCTGTTTGAGCTAATAGTGATACTACGAGGTAGACATCAGCTCGATGTGATATTTTATCGCATCGCATTTATCACAGAAAATGCGCTGCGATAAGATATCGCATCGCGTGTTATATTTTTGGAAACCAGGTTACCGCGTATCGCAAAATGGGCATGACATAAGTAAATATGGCATTTTGTCGCATTTTATATCGCGCGAAGCGAGATAACATCACATCTAGACATGAGCAAAATGCGATGCTATATTTAATTGCCTCGCATTTTATTTTATCGCATGCGATAAAATATCGCATCGCGCGATTAATTTTCCTGGTTTTGGGATATCGCATATCGCATTTTGGGTGCGATAATTAATAATATCGCAAATGTTAGTGCGATATATCGCGCGATGCAATAATATATCGCATCGCATTTACTGCATGTGGAAAAAAAACTAAGTATTTGACCAGGCGGAAAAAAAGGGTGTGGAAATTCGACACAACCCTGGCGAAATTCCGCGCTGCGATTAATTATATCGCATGCGATATAATAATATCGCATATCGCATTTTTATCGCACGACACATGGTGCAGTAAAAATGAGATGAAAAATATCGCGCTATAAATATCGCATCGCATCGCGCGATATAAATTTCAGGGGAAAAATTACCGCAATCGCAAAAATGCGATATTTGCGATGCGATAATGCGATATGCGATGCGATCTGCTCATGTCTAACCACATCGTATTTTTCTAAATAGAAAAATGGTGTGATTTTGAGGAAAAAAAAAACGAATTGTCTTCTGGTTCTGCAAACGAGAACAAGAATGGCGAGGTTTTCTGGGATTTGTGTCCCCCCCTCCCCCCCCCCTCTTGCTAGTGCATGCGATATTTTTCGCACATCGCATTGTATCGCGCATATCGCATCGCACTGCATTGCGCGATTTGTTTTTCAAGAAACAAAATCGCAATCGCAAAAATGTGACAAATGCAATAAAATGTGATGCGATGCAATATGCTCATGTAGACATGGTTATTTCGCATCGAATTGCATGATGCATCACATTGCATTGCAAATATCGCAAAAATGCGATTGCATTTTTTCCTAGAGAAATATCGAGCAATGCAATGCGATGCATATCGCGCGATATTTTTTTATCATGTTTATATCGCGATTTTCCCCTGCGATATATAGCGATATGCGATATTTCTATGTCGCATGCGATATTTAATTTCGCGTGCGATATCTGTGCGATAGACATGGTTAAATCGCATCGCATTTTGCGATAGCGATGTAACTTTTTTTTTAAAAGAATATCGCGCGATATTTGCGATATCGCGTTTTTATCGCGCTATTTTTTGCGCGATAAAATGCGATAAGCGATAAAAAGATATCGCGCGCGATACTTTCGCGTTTCGCGTCGCGGAATTTCGCCAGCAAGGGGAGGGACATGGGCGAGGGCCCTGAACTTATCGAAAATAGATGGTGAGCTAGTCTAGGTTTCTCTTGGGGTGATGCTGAATGGCGCGCGGAAATGGCAAGCGGCAGTTTGGGGGGAAGAGTTTGTGTGAGGAGCAGAGCTTGGAGCACATTAGAGGAAGGGTTGGAAATTCTAGATGGGAAGGAGTGCAGTGTGGTGTGGTTGAGGGAGGGGAGTTTGGTGGGGGTTCAAATTTGTTATGGTTGGTGGTGGTGGGTGGTGGGCGAGTGGGTTTCCTGGATGGGATGTGGTGGTGTGCGGTTGAAGGGATTTAGGGGGTTGGACTGAAATCTCGACCCCCAAAGTCAATTGGTTGGACTTCAACCAATTTCCACCACTTCAACCGCACTAAACTCCCCTGCATCTACAGAATCCAACCCCGTCCCCTCAAACACGCTCCACATGAGAGAGGGACCACGGTATTCCCATCTCGTCAATTCACTTACCTAATTCCGCGCGAACCTAGGAGAGCCACCATTGTCGTGTCCTGTGCTGTGGGAACACGTTTTTTTAGGGCGGGAAAACAGTGGCCCCTAAATGCGATGCGATATTATATCGCATCGCGCGATGCATCGCTTTTTTTAGGCGATATTTTTAAATATCGCCCCCTAAAACGCGATATGCGATTTCGGTTTTTTTTTTTAACATATCGCAGCGATGCGATATCGCATCGCTGCGATATAATGCACGATAAGAAAGAATGCGATGCGATATCGCATCGCATCGCGTTTTGACCATGCATACTGTGCGATATCTATGCGATATATCCGTGCGATATTTTCATATCGCATGCCCTTTTTTAGGTCTGGAAACCGAATTTAAACCATGCTTTTAAACGTGATGAATTATTAAGTCGCATAGCACAATACATTGCTATATTTTTGCGATATGTTTTAAAATTCGCACCTCGATGTGCGATATCAGATTTCTGGAAAAGAAGTCGCAGCGATGCGATATTATATCGCGCGATATAAAATGCGATATGGAGAAATGCGATGCGATATTATATCGCATCCCATTTTAACCATGTATATGCTCGTGTCTACTACTAGGTAGGTATGTAGGCAAACTATTAAGCATATTCATTATTCTTTTAACCATTTATTTAGTGTGGGCCTATCTTAAGTTATACACTCTTTTATCAATATGACTCCAAGTGTGTAAAATCTAAACACGCCCATTTCATCAAGAGCTCGATACTCATGGTACTTTTGTCGGTCCTGGGCGGTTCCTTCCCTTTGCCATCCAATCATTCAGGTCGGTCCAGAGCAACAGGCTGCACGGAAACATGCCGTCCTTTCTAGCGCCGTTGCCAGGGCTGAAGTACATGTGAGTGTTGAAAGGGGGGCGCTGGATCTGCATATGAGTCCGCTCAAGATCTGAAAGGGAGGCGCTGGGAAGGGCCTTACCATTGGCCGTGCCGTGAGGGGCTAGAGCTCCCATCCATAAGGCAGGACAATCCATCTGTTCATCGCACATGGGCGGCAGAATGTTTTGAGGAGATCTCGAGCTGCCCTGGAGGGTCGGGGGCCCGCCCCTAGCCCCTGACCTATAGCCCCTGACCTATACCCCCGACCCCTAGCCCCTGACCTATAGCCCCTGACCTATAGCCCCCGTCCTATAGCCCCTGACCCCTAGCCCCTGACCTATAGCCCCTGACCTATAGCCCCCGTCCTATAGCCCCTGACCTATAGCCCTGACCTATAGCCCCTGACCCCTAGCCCCTGACCTATAGCCCCTGACCTATAGCCCCCGACCTATAGCCCCTGACCTATAGCCCCTGACCTATAGCCCCTGACCTATAGCCCCTGACCTATAGCCCCTGACCTATAGCCCCTGACCTATGGCCCCTGACCTATAGCCCCCGACCTATAGCCCCTGACCTATAGCCCCTGACCTATAGCCCCTGACCTATAGCCCCTGACCTATAGCCCCTGACCTATAGCCCCCGTCCTATAGCCCCTGACCCCTAGCCCCTGACCTATAGCCCCTGACCTATAGCCCCCGTCCTATAGCCCCTGACCTATAGCCCCTGACCTATAGCCCCTGACCCCTAGCCCCTGACCTATAGCCCCTGACCTATAGGCCCCGTCCTATAGCCCCTGACCTATAGCCCCTGACCTATAGCCCCTGACCTATAGCCCCTGACCTATAGCCCCTGACCTATAACCCTGACCTATAGCCCCTGACATATAGCCCCCGACCTATAGCCCCTGACCTATAGCACCTGACCTATAGCCCCCGTCCTATAGCCCCTGACCTATAGCCCCTGACCTATAGCCCCCGACCTATAGCCCCCGACCTATAGCCCCCGACCTATAGCCCCTGACCTATAGCCCCTGACCTATAGCCCCTGACCTCTAGCCCCTGACCTATAGCCCCCGACCTATAGCCCCCGACCTATAGCCCCTGACCTATAGCCCCTGACCTATAGCCCCCGTCCTATAGCCCCCGACCTATAGCCCCTGACATATAGCCCCCGACCTATAGCCCCTGACCTATACCCCCTGACCCCTAGCCCCTGACCTATAGCCCCTGACCTATAGCCCCCGTCCTATAGCCCCTGACCTATAGCCCCTGACCTATAGCCCCTGACCTATAGCCCCTGACCTATAGCCCCCGACCTATAGCCCCCGACCTATAGCCCCTGACCTATAGCTCCTGACCTATAGCCCCTGACCTATAGCCCCTGACCTATAGCCCCCGTCCTATAGCCCCTGACCTATAGCCCCTGACCCTATAGCCCCTGACCTATAGCCCCTGACCTATAGCCCCTGACCTATAACCCTGACCTATAGCCCCTGACATATAGCCCCCGACCTATAGCCCCCGACCTATAGCCCCTGACCTTTAGCCCCTGACCTATAGCCCCTGACCTATAGCCCCCGACCTATAGCCCCCGACCTATAGCCCCTGACCTATAGCCCCTGACCTATAGCCCCTGACCTATAGCCCCTGACCTATAGCCCCCGACCTATAGCAACCCCCTGACCTATAGCAACCCCCCGACCTACCCCTGGCCTGCTCATTTCAGGCGCCCCAGAAGGTCTCTTCCCTGTTTTCCACGCTCTCACTTCCCACCACCCCCCCTCACTCCCCTGCCCTGGCAGCTATCTCGAGGACAATCGCCTCAACGGCTCGCTGCCTGCCAACCTTGCTGACTTCTCCGCCCTTGCAGTTCTGTGAGCGCTTCTCTCCCCCATCCCCCCTGAAGCACTGCGATGCATCCATGTGCCACACTACATGCTACCCTCCTGTGCACTTGGGAATGAGCATAGGTGGGGACGGGCGACCCGTGCCCGGGTTTTTCCGGGCCGGCCCATCCGGGCCTTTTGCTCATGCCTCTGTTTCACTCAAGGTGCAAAAAAACGGCGTTTTTAACCTTTTTTTACCGTTTGAAACAGGATCGTATAAAACAGTCGTATAATACGATTAAAACAGTCTAAAGTTGCATTTTGCGTTTGGTGCAAAAAAACGGCCGTTTTATACGACCGTTTTTTTCGTACCACCGTATAATACGGTGTACAATGTTCTTGGCCGAGCTAATAACGCTTAGGGGGGGGAGGACTAGGTGGATGACGCTTAGGAGGAGGAGGATGGGGGGGATGGTGGAGTAGGAGCAGAATGAGACCTAGAAGGCGACGGACTAGGGGCATGGACATCACATACCTGTTTCAAAGCCGCTAATTACCCCGTAGAACGATGCAGGCCGCCTTAGCAATCAGGCCACTTGTTTACGCGTGCTTTTTATACATTAAAAAAAAAAATCATGAAAGAGGGTCTAACAAAAAAACGTCGTTTTTTACCAAAACCCACCGTAAAAAACGGCCGTTTAAAACGGACCGTTTAATACGGATGCCGTTTTTTTGCACCTTGGTTTCACTCACTAAAGGCTGCCTTTCCTTGCCGCCGTTTACCCTCCATGTGACCACTAGCTGTTGTCAGCCCCTCTCTGCACTTCACTCCCTAGATGAAGCTGATGCTTTCGTCCCATAACATCTGCATCGGGGAGAATGGAGTCGTGCCGCTGTGAGCGTTAAACTGTAGACTTCAAAGGGCTGCCAGTGCGGTGAGCTGCAAACAAGTCATAGAGGGTTTCAGCTTTCAGCTCGTTGAGCTGCAATCATCTCATAGTGGGTACAGCGTTCAGCAACCTCTTGGGGAGGGCGCTTCAACTGCCTTGGAGAAGGGCGACGGGGCGTCTTTGAGTGGACTCAAAAGAGAGGGAATGCGATGGGGTGTCTTTGAGCCTCCTGCACACTTGTCGACACCCTTCCAATTCAAGGCGCTTGCGATTCCTTGTTTCCACTTAACCCTCCTTGCTGTGTGTCCCCTCCCCCCTCTTTCTCTCTCCAGAAGCCTTTCCAACAACTTGCTTCAAGGCCCCCTTCCACCATCCATGGCTGATGCTCCGCGGTTGAAAATTTTGTACGTGCTCTCTCTTGAAAACCAGTTATCTCTTCAAGTCAGTGGCTGTGCTCTTGCCCGTGTGTGCATCGATCAGGCATCCAAGAAGGCCGGACCAGTTCGTTATGGCATTTCTCTCCAACCCACTGGCCCTGCTGCAATCCTGCATGGATGCAAGCCCCTCACCACCATCAGCCTCTAAAAGCCTCTTTCTGCCCCTCAGAGCCTCTTTCTGCCCCTCAGAGCCTCTTTCTGCCCCTCAGAGCCTCTTTCTGCCCCTCAGAGCCTCTTTCTGCCCCTCAGAGCCTCTTTCTACCCCTCAGAGCCTCTTTCTGCCCCTCAGAGCCTCCTTCTGCCCCTCAGAGCCTCTTTCTACCCCTCAGAGCCTCTTTCTGCCCCTCAGAGCCTCTTTCTGCCCCTCAGAGCCTCCTTCTGCCCCTCAGAGCCTCTTTCTACCCCTCAGAGCCTCTTTCTGCCCCTCAGAGCCTCTTTCTGCCCCTCAGAGCCTCTTTCTGCCCCTCAGAGCCTCTTTCTGCCCCTCAGAGCCTCCTTCTGCCCCTCAGAGCCTCTTTCTACCCCTCAGAGCCTCTTTCTGCCCCTCAGAGCCTCTTTCTGCCCCTCAGAGCCTCTTTCTGCCCCTCAGAGCCTCTTTCTGCCCCTCAGAGCCTCCTTCTGCCCCTCAGAGCCTCTTTCTACCCCTCAGAGCCTCTTTCTGCCCCTCAGAGCCTCTTTCTGCCCCTCAGAGCCTCTTTCTGCCCCTCAGAGCCTCTCCCACTTTCTGAGGCGCCTAAAAAACCACCCGTCCTTTTCACACACCTTCTTTTCCTCTCCCTTATGTGCCTGCATGCTTAAAAGCTGTCCCTCCCTTTCATGCCGCTCCTACTTTCTCCCCTACCTGCCTGCAGGCTCGTAGCCCACAACAACCTCTCAGGGACTCTCCCACAGCCGTCCTTCAGAAACCCGGCAATGTCTATATTGTGAGGGACGGAGGGACATTTCCGTTTTCAGGGTGCTGGAAGGAATCGCAGCGCAATCATCCATTCCCTGTTGCCTTGGTCACACGCTCGCTTCTCCTCCGAGCTGACCAACTTCCCTTCTTCTTCTCTCTTCCCTTCTCTTCTCCTCTCTTCCTGTCTCTTCTTCTCTCTTCCCCTCGCTTCTTCGCTCTTCTCCTCCCTCCCTCTCCTTCCGCTTCCGCTGCTCCTTCTCCCTCCACCCTCCATCTCCGCACTTGGCAAGGTTGGCACGACAGCAGTCCGTCAGGTCAGCCCCCTCCATTCCATCCCTCCCTCCCATCTCTCCTCTCTCCTCCACGCCTCGCGTTTCTTCTCCCTCCAGCTGTTCTGCTTCACTCTCCTCCCATCCCGCTCCCTCAGCGATGTGCAAAACAACGCCCTGTCTGGCCCGGTTCCAGATTCTGTTTTCAGCGGCTCACCCAATCTCTACAGCCTGTGAGTCCCTGCAGCCTGTGAGTTTTTCTTTGGGGTCTCTAAGCCATCTTGTCGCCCCTTCTGTACACGCCCTGTGTGACTCCTTCGATTGCCACCCTTGCGACTCCAAATCGTCTTTTCTCTCTCCCGCTGCCCTACCTGCAGTCGCCAGTCAGCTCATCAGTAGCAAAGCAACTCATCAGGGGCTGTTCCTCTGCTGCTTGCTAACTGGGACTCCCAGTGCTCACTGTCCCAGTGCTTTCTGTTCTTAATCCTCCCCTTCCTTTTCTCCCCCTCTCCTCCCCCTCCCCGCCCCCGGTATCTCTCCCCCGGCCAGTCAGCTCGCTGGGAACAACTTCTCAGGGGCTGTTCCTCCGCTGCTTGCTCAGCTGCCCACCATTGTGCTCCTGTGAGTGTGACGAGGGAGAATCCACCTCTGAGTGTGACTGTAGGGAGTGTGCACCTGCGAGTGCCGTAACCATTCACATCTGCACCTATCTCTTCTCTTTCCTATCTCGTCTCCACCCTCCCTCGCCTTCCCTCACCTCCATTTCCTCCCCTCCCTTCCCTTCTTATTTTCCATCTCCTTGCTTTCCTCTTCTCCTCTTACACCTTGCTCTCCTTACCACCCCCAGCATCAGCAGCGGCGGACGTCTTCTGACCTGACTAATTCCCTTCTCCCCTCCCGCCGTCCCCCTCCCCTCTTCTCTTCTTTCCCAACAGGAGCATCACCACAGCGGCATGGAGTGCCCCTCACCCCTGCCTGCCTGCCCTGCTGCACTCTGCTGCACTCCCCCCCACCTTTCTCCCCAACCCCTTTTTTTCCTCCCCCAGCATCAGCAGCAGCATGTAGTGCTTCTTACTTCTACCTCCCTGCTCTGCTGCTCTTTGCTCTCTCACTCCCCTTCTCTCCGCATCCTCCCCCCCCCCCCCTCCCCTCCCCCAACCAACAGGAGCGTCAGCAGCGGCATGGAGTGCCCCTCGCTTCTCCCTGCCTGCACCACCACCATCCGCGCTCTCCTCGCTTCCTCTGCTTCTCCTCCTGCCTTCTGCTCTGTTTGCCCCGACTTCTGCATGCAGTGCAAAATAGGTGGGCCAGGAATGAAAGGCATGCCATGAATGAAAGGCATGCCATGAATGAAATATATCCTGCAGCCTAGTAGTACATTGCAGGATGCTTGGGAATATAACAAGATGAGCATACCATGTTAACCACGTTTATCTCCTGTTGAGTATGGTGTGCTATTCAATCACCTCCCTCCCCTGCTCCCACCCCTACTCTCCCAACCCCCTGTCTCCCCTGCAGCCTATCCGCCACCTCCTCCCAGCCCACCCCCTCCGCCTCCTCCCTCCCCGCCTCCCTCTCCCCCTGCTCCCTCCCCCCCTCCCTCCCGACCTCCTCCCTCTCCACCACAGCCGCCACCACTACCCCCTGCAGGTATGCTGTCATTCCCACAGCTGGTATCCCTTTGTGTGATTGTAGGGCTGTGATAGTAGGGCTGTGATAGTAGGGCTGTGATAGTAGAGATGTGATAGTAGGGGTGACTTCTAGGGGTGTGAGAGTAGTGGTGCAATAGTAGGGGTGGGATAGTAGGGGTGTCATAGTAATGGTGTGACAGTAGGGGTGTGATGGTAGGAGTGTGGTAGTAGGGGTGCCATCTCGCACTCTTTCCCCCCATCTCCACCCAATCTGCCATCACCGCCACAACTGCCACCGCTACCCCGTGTGCAGGCACAGTGGAGTCATCATGATGAGATCACATTATGATCACAGTAGTGTCATAGTAACCCTAAAACATCATTAAGATTGATTTAAAAAAGCACAGTCTGCCCTTCCTTTTGCAGCTTCGTTCTACGTTCCTTGATTTCAAAACCACCTTGTTATCGCCTCATCTCCTCATGTCCTGTCCTCTGTGCCAATACATCTCCCTGTCTTGATCCTGGTACCCGGCAGAAGCACCTCTCCCACCTCCACCTCCTCCCTCCCCGCCTCCACCTTCCCCACCTCCTTTTCCTCACCCCTCGCCTCCTCCCCTTCCACCGCCCTTTCCCCCTCCCTCTCCGCCTCCTCCTCCTCCACCTCCTCCTCCCCGCCCTCCTCCACGCCCCTCCCTCATCTCCCGCCGCTCCCCTGCACCCCCTCCTCCGTCTCCTCGTGAGTCGTTCGTTGCCATTTTCAGGTGGTTCCTCAGGTGCTATTTCAGGTAATTGCGTCTTTCAGGTGGTGTTGTCCATGTTCTGCATCAACCCAGGTGGTTGCTCATGGTAGAACCTCAAGTGGCATGTTTATGTTCATCAGATATTGGACATGGGATGTTTTGGGTTGCGGAGCAAGCTATTGTGATCGATTTTGTTCTTTTCCCATTCATTCTCAATCCTTTACTCCCTCCCCCCTTGCATACCTATGCTCCCCCTTTCTCCCCCACAGCATCCCTTCCCCCTCCATCCCCACCACCACCATCCCCACCACCACCATCCCCACCACCACGATCCCCACCACCACCATCCCCACCACCACCATCCCCACCATTACCATCACCATCATCACCACCAGCACCAGCACCAGCACCAGCAGCAGTAGGCCACTAGCAGCAGCGCAAATAGCAGCACCACCAGCAGCAGCGCAAATAGCAGCACCAGCAGCAGCAGCAACACCAGCAGGGGCACTAGCAGTAGGACCAACACCAGCAGCAGCGTCACTGCTAGGAGCGCCGGCAACACCGGCAACACCACCATCATCATCACCATCACTGGCACCACCACCAGCAACACCAGTACCATCGGCCCCCTGAGGTTAATAAGAGCAGCGTCACATGTGGCGGCAGCACCACCATCACCACCACCGTCAGCCTTATTAGCGCCAGCGTTTGACCGTCCGACTGACCCCTTTTCACAACCCATTCCACTCACGCATTACACCCATGAATCCCCCTCACCCCCCATTGATTCCACTCACTCCTACCAACACCCATTAATCCCACCCACTAATTAATTTCTCGCACTTATCCAGCGCCTGTTACTGACCCCATTAGAAGACACTATGTCTAGGGCCTCAGAAGTCAGGCCAAAAAGGCCTGAAAGCCTGTATATCTGGGTTTTTTTTTGGCATACCCTGATTTTTCAGGTTTTGATTTTTATCAAACCTGAAAATTGTGTGTTCCATTTTCTAAGGCCTGAAAAATGGTATGCTGTTGTTTTAGCGAGCCTGAAAAATCAGCCATACACGAAATGCGCCCTGAAACTGAATCTTATCTGCCTAGGCGAGCTAAAGCACGTGTGAGGGGCGTGACTGGTCCTTGACCAGAATCATGCAAGTTCAAGGCGAGTTGGAGTAGGTGTGAGGGGCGGGTGACTGGTCCTTGACCAGAATCACGCAAGTTCAAGGCGAGTTGGAGCAGGTGTGAGGGGCGTGACTGGTCCTTGACCAGAATCACGCAAGTTCGAGGCGAGCAGGAGCAGGTGTGAGGGGCGTGACTGGTCCTCACCAGAATCACGCTAGTAGTCCGAGGCGAGCTGGAGCACGTGTGAGGGGGTTGACTGCAGGCCCCCAAATTGGTTTTGGGCTTGTCTGATTCATCAGACTTGCCTGCCATCTCTTGGTATGGCCTTCAGAGTCGCCCCCTAAAAAAAGTCTGAAAAATCAGAGTACCGTATTCCCCCAGATAAAACACCCACGGGTGGCACTAAATTTTGATGCAAAATTCAGTGGGGGTGTAATTGTTAACGTAGAAACGAATGATTACTAGAGGTGGAAACCTAGAACAAATACTAGTTGGTTGTACTCACTAGAAGCATACCTCAGTCTAGCCTATAACTTCTACATAGATAATATGTATAAGTTGACACACCCCCTAGGCTAGACAAGGGGTGAAACTAAACAAGAAGCAAACAGCTCAGGGCGGCACTACTAGTCCAACCACTGAGGCAGGGGTCTGGAGACCAGTCAGCAAGAATACAACCAAAACTGAAGCAAGCCAGGGTGGCACTACTAGTCCAGCCACTGGAGGTAAGGCCACAAGGCCAGTCTGACAAGCATATATAATAGAGAGTACACAATCAGGATCCTAACAGGGGAGCAGCTATAGGAACAAGACCAAGCTGTACACAGTGCCGCTGATGATCTTTAGGCGCAAGCGCCTTAGTAAAGATATCAGCTGTGTTGGCACCTGAGGCCAAGTGAACTACGCGGGCCTGGCGGCGCTGCTGTAGCTCGCGCAGGAGGAAGTACCGCAGCTGGATATGCTTCGCTCTGCCCTCAAGCCGAGGCTCCTGACACAGGAGTATCATGGCCCTGTTGTCAGCGTACAGGACCGGGGCAGAGCTAGGCCGCTCACCTAAGTCTGTGAGCAAGAAGGTCAGCCAGCGGAGCTCCTGTGCCGCCATGGCACCAGCGTAGATCTCAGCCTCACAGCTAGACTGAGCCACAGACGACGAGCGAGTGGATCTCCAAGAGATAGCACCCGAACCAAGGCTGAAACAGTAGCCCTGCGACGACCTGAGCGTCTCAGCGTCGTCTGCCCAAGAAGCGTCTGTGTGCCCAGTAAGGACCACTGGCCTGCGTCCTCCTAGCACTAACCCCATGCCTGATGTACTAGCAAGATAACGCAAAACCCTCTTAGCGGCAGACCAGTGCTGAGGTCGGTGTCTGCCTGTAGCCACAAAGCGAGCCAGGATGCTGAGAGGGTATGCGAGATCTGGGCGAGTGCAAGTCATCAGGTACATGAGGCAACCCACCAGCTCTGCGTAGGGGCCACTGGGCTCTACTGGCTCCTCAGGAACGGGAGCAGAGAGCCCATGGTCTACGGGTAGAGGTGTGGGCTGTGCGGAGGAGAACTGAAGACCGAACCTCTGAAGGACCTGACGCACCAAGTGTGACTGGGTCAGAGTGATGGTGCGTGCTGCTCTGTCCCTAGAGATCTGCAGGCCAAGATAGCGACGCAGCTCTCCAAGGTCAGTGCAGGTGTGTCTCTTCAGCAGCTCAGCCTTCACAGAGGCCAGTGCGTCCCTGTCAGGAGTAGCGAAGACCAGGTCGTCTACGTAGACAAGGATGTAGAACGGAGTCTGGCCGGAACGCACAAACAGTGAAGGGTCAGCAGAGGACGGAAAGAACTGCAGGTCTACTAACGTGGCACGTAGCGTGTCGTGCCACTCGCGGGGAGCCTGACGCAGGCCGTAGACCGGGCGCCTGAGAAGCCACTGGGTCCCAGGAGGGAAGGTACCAGTGAAGCCCTGTGGTCGGCGCAGGTAGACCTGCTCGTGTAGGCTGCCCTGAAGAAAGGCAGTAGAGAAGTCGAGGGAGTGAAGCTCGTAGTCACGCTGTGCTGCTACGTGTAGCAGCGCCCGAAGAGTGGTCATCTTCGGGGTCGGGGCGAAGGTCTGGAAGAAGTCAACCCCCTCGCGCTGACTGAAACCTCTGGCCACGTAGCGCGCCTTGAAGACAGGCGGCTCTCCAGGGGGGCGCTTCACCTTGAAGAGCCACCGACCATCGACTACGTTCACCCCAGGCGGGGGAACTGCGTCGACGTAAGTGCCGGTGGATCTCCAAGATGCCATCTCCTGCTCCATGGCAGCTATCCACTGAGAGGCCCAAGGTCCCGAGGTGGCCTCAGCGTAGGTGCGAGGGGTCGGGATGTCGAAGGCGTCTGGGTCACCCTCAGGGACTAACAGCATGGAGCAGAGATGGGGAGCAGCCTCGGAAAGGAAAGCCAGCTCGTACTGCCTGTCCTCTAGGACGTCACTGCCAAGGGCAGGAGCACCCCCGACGGACAGAGGACGGGCAGGGTCAGAGACCAGAGCGGTAGCGTAGTCAAGGCGGCGGGTAGAAGCGAAGTCAGCGACAGCAGCGACAAGCGCGTCAAGGCGCGAGACAGGAACAGCAGGGTCGGTAACAAGAGAGGCAAGGACCCGAGGGACAAGGGGACGAGCAGCACGGAGGTAGTCAGAGAACGGAGGAGGTGCAACAGTAAGGGACGAGGGAGGAGGGGACGGGAGGAGGGGAGGACGAGACGAGTGGGAACGGAGCAACATAGGGTGGGTGGGCAGGACAGGAGAGACGGGACGAGCACGGGAGGGACGGCGAGCCCAAACGTGAGACGGAGGGGTAGGGTCAGGGGACAGCGGAGGAGACACAGGAGGGGAACGAGGAGGAAGACGGGCCGGAGACGAGTCTGGCGGCGGGAACACAGGACCGTAGACAGGGAGGTCAGGAGGCGGTGGGGGAGACACCGGCGCGCGGTCCGGGGAGGGAAGGCCGAGCAGGCGGAGAGCGGAAACCGGCGGCGACGGCTGCTGCGGCGGCGACGACGGCTGGGCCGGAACTCTCGGACCAGCAGAGGCAGAACGACCGTCGGCAGAACACTCAACAGCAGCACCCCCAGAACCAACACCCCCAGAGCGAGAACCCCCTCCAACACCAGCGGCACCCCCAGAAGCCGCAGGACGAACACCCTCCTCCACACCAGCACCCCCAGGGGCCGAGAGCAGCGGCGGCAGTGGCGGCAACGGCTGCGGCGGCGGCGACAGCGGCGACGGCTGCGGCAGCGACAGCGGCGGCGGCGGCGACGACAGCGGCGACGGCTGCGGCGGCGACGGCGACGGCGGCGGCAGCGGGGTCGGCGACTGCGACAGTGGGGGCGGAGGCACCGGGGAAGGGGGACGCGGCAAGGACGGACCGGGGGTACCACCAGAGTCAGCAGACTCCTCAACGGGGACAACCGACGGGAGGGGAGTGACGTGGGAGACACCAGACGGGGCAGGACGAGGCGGGAGAGGGGCAGGGGCTACCGGGGGAGAGGGAGCAAGGAAAAGGGGGGGGGCAACTGGGAGACCTCGGTGAGGGAAGCGGCGGTAGAAGGAGACGGACTCATCAAAGGTGACGTCACGAGAGTGGAGGAAGCGGTGAGACGGCGGGTGGTAGAAAAGCCAGTCAGACGAGTCCAGGGGGAAACCGAGGAAGACACAGGGGACAGTGCGGGCAGTGAGCTTGTCCGTGCCAGAGGCACGAACGTGAGCAAGGCAGCCCCAGACGTGGAACGCAGACGCGTCACCGGGGGACCCGGTCCAAAGGAGGGTCGGCGAAACCTGCGGCCGCTGGGAGCGTGGCCACAGGTTAAGCTGGTGAGCCGCGTAGCGAACAGCGAACGGCCACAGAAAATGGGGGGCATCGGCATGGATCATGGAGGTACGGGCGACCTCCATGACCAAGCCGATGCGGCGCTCAGCAACCCCATTCTGCTGTGGCGAGTCCGGCAACGTGTACGACTGGGTGATGCCCTCCGCACGACAGAACTGTCCAAGCCGACCAGAGGCGAACTCGCCGCCACGGTCGGAGTGGAGACACAACACGGGGAGACCGCGGTGGAGACGCGCAGCCACAACCCACGGGAGAAGAACGTCGGGCACGTCGGCCTTCCGCTCCAGGGGAAACACCGTGGTGTAGCGCGTGTAGTCGTCGACAAGCACAAGGAAGTAGCGCTCACCGCGCGGTCCGGGGACGGGGGCAGGGCCCCAAACGTCCAAGTGCAGGGTCTGAAGGGGGGCAGTAGCAGGACGCAGCGAGGAGGAGTGAGGAGCACGGCGGAGCCGACCCTCGACGCAAGGCGTGCACGGTGGCGCAGTCGAGGGAGGAAGGGCAGGGAGCGACGCGGGGAGACCTAAGACAAGACCGTGCTGGGACATGTGACGCAGACGCGGGAGAGTAGGGTGACCTAAGCGGTGGTGCCAGAGAAGGGAGGGGTGAGTGAGGGACCGACACGAGCAAGCTGCAGCGACCTGGGAGGACGCACCAACCGGGGGGGAAGCGGTGTGTAGGGTAAACAGACCGGACACCGGGTCCCGGGGGAACGTCGCAAGGGGGGAACCTGAGACAGCCTCAGAACAGACAGCGAACCGCTCGTGCCCGGGGAACGTGGTGGTGACGCCGAGGTCCTGGAGACAGCCGACACCAACCAGGTTCCTGGAGAACGAGGGAACGTGGAGGCCAGTAAGGGAGCCCGAGGGAACTGCCGGACAGGGAAGGGACGTAGAACTGCGCGCGACGACCGGACCCGCAGAGGGGTCAGCGAGAGAGACAACAGCAGGTGCAGCAAGCGGCGTGAGCGTGGAACGGTCGCGGAAGAAGCAGGCAGAAGCACCAGAGTCGAGAGTGAAGGACAGCGACGCAGTGGCGGGGGCCGGGGACGGAG